CGCTTTTTTATCCCATCGCTGTTTGTGGCCGCCTTCAGGCTCTGGGAATACCAAACTCAGGGCAGAGGGTGAAAGTAAGGATAGGGTGGGGGCAGTGAATCCCTGCAGAACTGGCTAAGAGCGGGTCACGGACCGAGAGACTGGGGGGACGCGGGACGGGGGCCCAGGCCTGCCCCGCCTCCACGCTTCCCTCTCTGGGCGCCAGGGGTCGCTCGGCCCCCCCCCCAGTCCCCCCCACCCCCCGGCCGCTTATAGCGGCTCCCGCCGCGCGCCGGCTCACACCACCCGCACTGCCGCCCAGGGAGGGAGGGGAGGAAGGTTAGGGACGCAGAGAGGGAGAGCGCTAGCAGGAGGAAGACGTGGGGACAGGGCTCCAGCAGGGGGCTGGGGCCGCGGCTAGGGTAGAAAGGTGGGTCAGGGCTCGCCGAGAGCTAGAGCGCAAACCTGCAGAGGAGGTCGCGTCCGGCGGGCATCACCCGCAGCGCAGAGCCCGGGACGTCCAGAGCGCGGAGAGCAGTCCCAGCTCCGGCTAGAACGATCCGTCTGGGTAGCCGGGGACCTAGGCGCCGCCATCCTCGAGAAAGCAGCTGTCCGGAGATCAGGCATCCTAGATCCGTAAGAAACCAGCCGTCCGAGAAGCCGCCGATTTCAGGCGCCCGGGAACGTAAGATTGAACGAGAGGGCAATAGAGGACCACGGACTCTGAACCGTCTGGAGCTGCCTCTGGTCCACGGAGGAACCTCCGCCTTGACGGAAGGTTTGGGGAACGGCACCGCTGAGGCGGGAGCCCGAAGGGGTGGGGGGGCCGGGTGCAGCCGTCGGGGGGGTCCCGACCCAAGCCCGAGCCCGGCCACCGCCTCTGGGGCCCGCGGGAAGCCCCAGGCCTCCGGCACCATTGCGCCCAAGAGTGAGGAGGACCTGCTGGCCCTGGCCGCGTCGCGGCTGAACCGCCGCAAGCGGGTGGCGGGCGCGGCCGTCGGGGTGGCCATGGTGCTGCTGCTGCTGGTGGCCATTCCGCTGCTAGTGCACAGCTCCCAGGGGCCGGCGCACTACGAGATGCTGGGTCGGTGCCGCATGGTGTGCGACCCGCACGGGCCTCGAGGCCCAGGACCCGACGGCGCGCCCGCCTCCGTGCCCCCCTTCCCTCCCGGCGCCAAGGGGGAGGCGGGGCGGCGCGGAAAGGCAGGTCTGCGAGGGCCCCCGGGACCACCAGGTCCTAGAGGGCCTCCAGGAGAGCCGGGCAGGCCAGGTCCTCCGGGCCCTCCCGGCCCAGGCCCCGGTGGAGTGGCGCCCCCTGCCGGCTACGTGCCTCGAATTGCCTTCTATGCTGGCCTGCGGCGGCCACACGAGGGTTACGAGGTGCTGCGCTTCGACGACGTGGTGACCAACGTGGGCAACGCCTATGAGGCGGCCAGTGGCAAGTTCACCTGCCCCATGCCGGGTGTCTACTTCTTCGCTTACCATGTGCTTATGCGCGGCGGTGACGGCACCAGCATGTGGGCCGACTTGATGAAGAATGGACAGGTGAGATGCCCCCCTCCCATCCAGCCCCAGAGAGGGAAGCTTTCTAAATCCCTCTGCTTTCATTACACAACCCGAATCTCTTCCCCAAACAGCGTCACTAAATCCAAGAAGGCCAGCTTGCCAAGAACTTAGAAATCGCTTCACTTAGCTGAAAAGGAATTGGGGGCCAGAGAAAGGAAATGACCTGCCCAGGGTCTCACAGGGACGTTAGGAAGGGTGTCAGAATTAGAACGCAAATCTTATTGTATAAGCAGCTGCTACCTCACAGTCCGTCTGTAGGCAACTATACACCAAACCTCTCTGGTGTCTCACCCTGCCAACTAGCCTCTTTTCTGGTCCTGTCTCATCCAGCTCTCCTGGCCTTTAGGTTACACAGTCGCTCCATGAGCTAGTTACCAGAGTCCGGCTCTTTCAAATTAGCATGGAATCTGAGTTACAGGCGGTGGGCAATTGGTAGCTGCTCCCATGTGGGGGCATTAAGCTTGAATTTTTGAGGATAAAGTAAAAAAGAAAGAAAACACTTGCTTGTTTTCCAGGCAACTCTATTGCTAGTTCCAAGGCCTGGAGTCCCTGGTTTTAAAGTGGCCTTTACCCTCAGCTAATACAGAGTCAGTAGGCAGAGGTAGAAGATGTGGCAGCTCAAGGGCCAGCCAGGTGGTCTGCAGGAACGAATTTGGGAGAAGGAAGGAGGCAAAGGACAGAAGCCTCGGACCCCAGTCGGGTCCTGTGGTCAGAGTCGGAGTCACTGCTGCCTTAGCTTGGGAGAAAAGCCCCAAAGACTCAGCTCAGTGTCCAGTCTGAGACACACAGAGACGGAAAGAGGCCTTGGGGTGGGGGTGGGGAACTGTGCCTGGGAGGCTAGAAGCCGCAGGGTATAAGGTTAGGGCTGAGCTGTGACCTCCTCACTCTGCTGTCCGATGGGGTCATTTGACCATGGCGCATCTGGCCAGCTCCTCCCAGCTGTCCAATCCCCAGGTCTTGCTACTGCTGCAGCACCTTTCGCCTCCGAGACCCACAGGCACTACACTGGGGTCTCCTCCCAGCAGAGCCACCCCAGGAAACCAGGGAAAGGGAGTGAGAGCGTATGTGTGTCAGACTGTAGAGTGTATGTGCATGATGAAGTGTGTCTGTGGGTGCGGGGTTCGGAGGTGTGAGTGGGTCGGTGTCTACATGCCTGTGGCACTGAGTAGGTGTGCTTGGTCTATGCGGGCTGTCTGTGAGGGGCCGTGGGGGTGTGTGTATCTAGAATGTGTCAGTTCCCGAGGGCGGAGGGCCCCGCGGCTCCCACTCTGTATTCTGTGGTGCGGGCGCTGCGGCCCTGGGGACGGTAAATAGTGATTAGAATAATGATGAATAATTAATGAGTTAATAACCAGCCCCCAGCGGGACAGCAAGAGGGGGGCTGGGGAGGGGGCTGGCGGCGCTAGGCGACCTGCAGCAGCGAGACCAGAAAGGGGAGGGGCTACCTGTTGGGGCGGAAAGCGACCCCCACGTCGGGGCACCCTCGTGTGCTATGAGGGGCGATTATACAGACTGGCCTTCCCGCAGCCCGCTCCCTCGCTTGCACACGTACAGGCATGCCTGTGCCCTGTCACCGGGGGATGGGAACACGAGTTTAGGAGGTCAAAGCGCGTTCAGAATCTTAGAAATTATCCGAGTCAAACTCTTACTTTTTAAATGATAATACTAATAGAAAATCTATATAGCGTTTCCTTTGTGTGAAGCATGTTTTAACACACTTTACGTGTAGTAACTCATTTAATCCAAACAACCTGATGAGGTAGGTTCTATTATTACCTCCCACCTTATAGCTCAAATGGAGGACCAGAGAAGGTGTGAAACTTGCCCACTTCCCGGCAGTGAGTGAATGAATGGCGGTGCCTGCGGAGCACCTTGTCTTTCCCGACCCCTGCAGTCTGTTACCGTCGTGTTGCTTTCACAGGTCCAGTTCCACCTCCCTGACCAACCCCTCCTCACCTCAGCTCCGTAGAAAGCGTGAGTGGGTTGTCCTGTTCTCCCTACTAGGTTCGGGCCAGTGCCATCGCCCAGGATGCCGACCAGAACTACGACTACGCCAGCAACAGCGTGATCCTGCACCTGGATGTGGGCGACGAAGTCTTCATCAAGCTGGACGGCGGGAAGGTGCACGGCGGTAACACCAACAAGTACAGCACCTTCTCTGGCTTCATCATCTACCCGGACTGAGCCGGCCCTGTCCCCGGGCGCCCTCGCTCGCCCTTCGCCTCTGCTCCCCTCCCTACCACCTTCAGCTTGCCCCACCCAAGGCACCACCCCATCCTTTGAGAGCCGGCGGTGGACGGATCCTCCTGCTCCCGGAGGTGGCCTTAATGGGCGGACTCTTAGTGCTCCGGGGTGTAACTATGTGGCTGGGGAGCTGAGCAAGCCGGTGGAGGAGCAGAGCGCCTCGGGAAGGGACCACCAGCATCCGTCGCATGCCTGTGAAAGCTGGGGCAGCAGAGCGGCGCGGGTCACGGGTCACGGCCCCCTCTTCTGCCAGAAGCTAGGGAAGTTTCACTAGCTGTAGCATAGAGGCACGGAAAGCGGAAAACAGAAGGGAAACTCTGGCTTTGGGGAAGGGAGAACACATCTGGGTGGGAGGAGAGGAGACCCGGTAGGCGCTGGTCCTGTCATGACTTCTCTGCCATCTCCTCCTCCCTCATCATTTTCAGGCTTCAGGCTCTAGCTTTGGCAGTCTTCCTGTGAACTGGGGGAACCAGTTGGTTCTTTCCTAGCACTTAAAACTCATCCTGTACAGTCTCCATATCACCCCCATCTGGGTTAGGCCCTGGGGCTACAGCTGCTGCTGCCTCTTCCAATAAAGTAAAGTTGGAGAATGTGGGTGCCTCTTAACTTGGTGCAGAGTAGGGGAAAGTGACTGAACCCTTCACTCCTCTCAAGGACCCCTACCCTATTACACTCTGCCAGAGGCAAAGGTTTAGTTATCCCTGGCAAGGTCTGCCTCTGGGGGAGAAGAGGAGGGGAGTGGCCCAGGGTTTCTATTCGGATACAGCAAGGGTGTCAGCTTCAGGAGAGCTTTGAGGCCTTCTACTACAGGGAGACACCAACCAGAGTGACACTAACAAGGGATGATCTCAGAGATATGGGTCTGGTGCTTCTGCTTTTTGCCGATGCCGAGGGGGAAGAGTTCTAGGGAGCTCTATGCGATGAGAGTTGCTGATGGCTCCTGGGAGTGGCCAAGATATCAAGGAGGAAGGAGAAAAGCAGGTCCCCAAAGTCCTACATTCACCTCCCACCCCCCAACAGATTCACTCTTAGAGCCTGCTGGGAGGGTGGGGTGGGCAGGGGTGGGGTGACCTGGTCAGTTCCTAGGTGAGGGAGGCTGGGGGAGGGGGAGAACCCAAGGCTGACCTCTAAGTTGGAGAACACTGCCACCATGTGGACAAAAGCAACACAGCAGTAGCTGGCCTAGGCAGGACCACAGGAAAAGACACTTGGACACTTTAGAAACTTTATTGAAGGACAAAAGGGTGTCAGTTCCAATCCACGGTGTGGAAAATAAATAAGGTTAAAAGGAAGGAGCAAGACAGGACAGGAGTGAGTGGATGCAGATGCCTCATGACGGAGAATCCTGTGGGGCAGCAGAACCAACTGGAATAAAACACTAGGGAGAAAGAAGACTTCGTCACAGCCCAGCCATTCTTGAACTGTAGCCAGCTCTTCCCACTGTAAAGAAGCCGAGGTCCGCCCCCTGCCCCCACTTCCCACAGGCCTCTGTGCAGGTACAGCTGGCTGTGGACGGAAGGCTCACCAGGGCATCCTGCCATTCCAGCATCATGGCCACGGGGTTGGTGCAGACCCTGGTGAGGCCTGAGGGAGGGGCTCGGCTGGTGTAGAAGGCACACTCATCGTCCAGGCAGGCCTCGTGGAAGCCATGGATGGCGGTCAGACACGCTTTGAGGCGCTGCCTCAGGGCCATGGTTCGAGGGGCCGGATGGCTGGGACCTGAGGGCCAAGGGCCATGGAAAGTTCAGGGTGGACTCTGAAGTCCAAGACTCCCACCACATACTTCCCTTTCTCACCCCTCACCAGGGCCAAGCCAATAAGGAGTACAGGGCTGAAAGTGCCATACCACCCACCCGCCCACCCCAGTGGGAGAGCCAGGCTGGGGCAAAGTAGGTAGGGGAAAGAAAGCGTGGGATCATCTGGTGCAGGGCAGGCCCCGCTTCCAGCAAGAGATGAGAACCTCCTTTGCTCACAACCCCACCCAAGCAACTCCTTACCTGTTGGGCCTGGTGAGAGCTTCAGGGACTGGAGTGAGCGGATACGGGGGCTGGCACAAAGTGGGCGCTGGGAGGAGAAGGTCAGGCTGGTGGTCGCTGGAGCCCACTGACTGGTGCGGGGCCATGAGCTGGACTCTGGATTTCTGAGTTCCAGGGAGCAGGCTTCTGATACCCCTGGATCTACGGTAGTGGAGGGCTCTGGGAGTCCTACCTGCCCCTGGGGGCAGGCCTGAAGGGGTCCAGGTTCTACTGGAGGGCTGCGCTCTGACGCCTCAGGCTGCTCCTGGGTGGAGGGCTCTGGTTTCTCAGGCCTCCCCCCATGGCAGGACTCTGGGGGGCCTGAATCAGCTGGAGGGCAGGGCGGGGCAACCTCAGGCTCTGCTCCAGGGCAGGGCTCTGGCTCCCCACACTCCTCTGGAAAGTAGGGTTTTGGCAGCTCAGGGTGCTGTAACAGTCCAGGAAGGTGAAAAGCCTCAGGTACTTTTTCAGGGGCATTCAGAGTTCTAGAAATCTCAGCCAGCAGGGGCTGAAGTTCCACCATATCCAGAGAGGAGCTTCCATTAAGGGGGGCACACTTGCCCTCTGCCAACCCCTCCACTTCCTGCCGCAAAAGCTGCTGCAGGATAGTGATGCGCTGTGGGTAGGAGAGAGCATGATGTCAACAGCACGCCTTGTACCCACACTGTCCTGTTCCCATGCCCCGCCCCGACGCCTATTTCTCAGTCCCAGCCCTGTCAATGCTCATCAGCCATTGAAGCTGTTACCCACACCAGCCCACCTGCATCTTCAGCTCCTGGAAGTTGGGGGTTCTACTGGCGTGGGGTCCATAAGGAGTCGACACAGGTGGCTTCCCAGGCCCCTCCTGCAACCTTATACCACTCTCCTGGTCAAATAACCGTACTGCAATCTGCTCCTGCCACATGAGGAAGCCAGGTTGGGGTAAGAAGAAGACTAGTTTGAGTCCCACCCTCATGAGGAAGGGATCAGGTCCTTAACTGAGTGTCCCCAGACTTGGATTAGAAGGAGCAACAGAGAAGCAGGGAGAGTTGGAGGGTTAGACAGCTTTTTCTTAAGAGCCCACCTGCCTCAACAATGCTGGGCCTGAGGTCAACAGGACAGAATGAGGTATCTCAGGATAGGGAAGTTCAGATACTTACCCAGGGCAGGGCAGGCTCTTCAGGGCAAGGTTGAGGGGAGAGGCCACTCAACCCTCGGGCCTGGGTCAGAAGTGAGATGCCATGACTCTCCCTGTACCCATCCATCATCCTCTTCCTCCCCCAATCCTAGCCTAGGCCTGTGACCACCCCTGCCCTCTTACCTGCTGAACTCTGGAGGCTGATGGGAGTGGTGTGAACTGGGTTTTGGGGCGGGTGGCGAGACGCCGCAACACTGAATATGAGATCTGGGGAGAGATGGGGGTGGCTAAGCAGGACAGATTGAGACCAGCAGGGATCCCAGCCAGACTGTTCTGCCCTTGCCCAGCCCCCAGTAGCTGCAGATACAAACTGGAGCTGAAGGGCCAGGGGATGGTACACGCTGAGCCCGTCCAAAGGGTGATGGCTGGGTGATGGCAGGTGGCACTGCTTGGCCAGGGGAGGGCATCAGGCAGGAGTCACAGCAGTCCTGTGGAGAAGAACCAGGAGGAAGAGTGATCCCTCCCACTTGGCACTGCTCTGTCTTGTTCTCACTTCAGCAACCAGTGTGATTCTTTAACAGCTAATCAAATCATGTCCCTCCCTTGGTCATCCCCCTCCCCATGGCTTTCCACTCATTCCAAGTCATAGCCAAGGTCTTATACTGGTTTATAAATCCTTACCCAACCCGATCCTGTCATTGCTCTAACCCTCACTTCCTCTCCTTCTTATTTTGCTTTAGTCTTGCTTTTCTGCTGATCCTTAAGCGTAACAGGTAGACACCCTATGTACATCTGAAGTTCTCATGTCCTGGAACGTTCTTCCCCAGATATCTGTGGGGCTCACTCCCTCAAATCTTTCTACTCTTCATGTAGCCACACCTCAGTGATACTCCCTCGACCCCTGAAACTGCAATACCACCCACTCCCTCCAGTCTCCTTCCCTTATAGTACCTTGGGGGCTTCCCTGGTGGCTGAGACAGTAAAAAATCTGCCTGCAATGCAGGAGACCCAGGTTCGATCCCTGGTTTGGGAAGATCCCCTGGAGAAGGGCATGGCTACCTACTCCAGTATTCTTGCCTGGAAAATTCAATGGACAGAGGAGCCTGGCAGGTTGTAGTCCATGGAATTGCAAACAGTTGGACACGACTGAGCAACTAACAATTTAGTACCTTACCTTTTTTTTTTAACAGATAACTTATAACCATCTGACATATTATATATTTTACATGAGTGTTTATTTTCTGTCTCCCCTCTAGAATGTGAACTTATTTCCTATTGTATATCCAGAACCTAGAACAGTGCTTGGCACACAGTAGTTGGTCAATAAAACCTTGTGTGTGGAGGAAATGAATGAGCTGTCAGATCTGTCTCACTCTCAGCACTGACCTGATGGTGACATAAATATGTATCAGACTGTGACCTCTGGAGAGGCCTTGGGTCCATCTAGGACAAACCAGGACCCAATGAACATGCTGAGATCCAAGCGGGGACTGCTTGGCTCTATACACAATCCTCACTGCTGCTGGGGAATCCCTCATGCACATCCTCTGCCCCTTCCCCCATCCCAGGAGGGTCCCATCTCACCCTGGTGTGGGTTTTATCTCGGGTTTCTTTTAATGGTACCCGCTGGGCCAGGCCAAGGGGGCCGCCTCCTCCTTCATCTGACTGAGTGACAACTTCAGGTTCCCCTTCAGGGAGAGAGGAAGCTAGGAGGAGACAGGAAATTTGCTGTAGTGTCTGAAACATACATCAAAGTCTGGCACATGGCTTTGCAACCTCCGGAAAGGGTATGCCAGTTTGACAGCCACCATTGTACCATCAAGGCTGGGGACCCATCCAGTACCCCTTTGAACCCAGCACTATCTCAGTAGTCACCCATTAATCTGAATACCCTGAGTGGGCTAGGGGTGTGGTGATGGCTCTGAGGGGCTGACGATAGGACAGTGAGTGGAAGGTATATCTTGCAGGAAGTGGCAGAGAGAGGATAGAAATGGGGACCACCTCCTCTGACACAAGTGCAACCGGGCAAACCTCTGGCCTATGGAGAAGGTCTCTTCCTCTCTGTCTCCTCCTGATCTGGTGTTCCCGAGACAGCCCTCCTGAGCTTTCTCTCGGTTTGCTCCCTACAAGCAGGCTCCCAGCTGACGTTCTCTCCCCAGGGCCAGACACACTCACCAGGCTGCACAGGCTGCTCCAGAAGGGATCCTGAGGCCTGGCTCGCTGAAGTCCTGAAGACAACAAGGACAGTGGCAAGCAGTCACTGAGTACCAGATATGAGCTGGGCACTGTGCTAAGTGCTTTACAAACATCATCTAATTCTCACAACAACTTCAAATGATGATACAAACATTGTCCTCATTTGACAGATTAAAGAAACTGAAGCTTGGCAGGTAAGGCAAGCTTGAACAACCAATGAGTCCTGAGAGTCAGGAATCAAACCAAAACCCCATTTGTTCCCACAGTCTATGCTCTAGCCACTACACAAGGGATGGCACCTCTCATTTCTTTCCCGTTCCGCCCCTCACAACCTGAAGAAACTGATGCCATATTGAGGCCAGACTACGAAGACCTGAACTTCATTGCAAGGGTTCACCCTGGGCATTCACAGATTTTCCCCCCACCCCCAGGCTGGTGGGAAGTCCTAAAGTTACCAGAGGGCTCAGCCCTGAGGGACCCCTGTATCAGACACTGAATCATTCTTTTCCAAATGACACCCTCCTTACTTGCTGCTGCCACTGGTCTCTCTTCTTAGTTCCTGGAAACAGGGAGGAGCAGAGGGGTGAGAGGAAGGCCCTGAAGGTGGAATCTGAGCCACACCGGAGCAAGAGAAAAAGGAGAGTCAGAAGCAGGCTCCAAACCTTCAGGTTTCACAACCAACCCCATCAGCCTCCATACAACACCTCTGCTCACCAGGAGGTACCTTCCATCCCAAGGCCCAGCTGTGTCCTTAGAAGGAGTTCCCAGGAGCACCTAGTATCAGCCCCTCAAGAACACTCACCAGAGCCTCCAGCCTCTGGGGACACAAGGTTCGACCTCTAGGCCCTGGTCCCTCCAGCCTTGAGAAGCAGGAAGCCCTGACAGGGTCCAGTCGATGGGTAGGGGTTCTGGGGGCCAAATATGCAGAGGCCCGGGCATCCTGGGACCCCAAAAGAGACTCTCAGTACAGGCTCAGGATTCCCTCCTCAGCCTACCCCAGCCTGATCTCCTCCTATCCCGGCTCATTACCTGACCCCTCCGGATGGTGCCTCCCTGGCTCCCTCGAACCAGTACTCTCTGAGCCAGACTGGGCTGGCGCCCCAGGCGACAGCTCTTCACCCCCTCACCTGACAGGATGGTGGCCAGGGCTGCAGGGTCAGCCACAAACTCTATGGTTCCTGGAGCCTCTGCAAGGGAAGAAGAGAAGGAAAGGAGAGAAGGGACAGGAAGGAGGGGAGGCTGAGGGGCTGGAGAGCCTAGCATTGTCACCTTGAGGTGCAAGAGTGAGCCAAAGAGACTCATATAACTGAACTCAGCTCAACAAACATTCATAGGACTTTAATCTGCATAAGACACTATTCTAGACACTGCCACCCAGAGATGAATACGACAAAGCCCCCATCCCCAGGAAGCTATCATCAAACCATAGACAGGTAACAGATTCAAGTCAAAGTATGGACATATTATAAAAGAACTGCAGGGAATTCCCAGGCGGTACATTGGTTAGGACTCAGCGCTTTCACTGTCTTGGCCCAGGTTCAATCCTTAGTCCAGAAACCAAGATCCCATAAGCTGCATCTAATAAATGAACGAATGAATGGATAAATGAATGAATAAACAAGTAAAGTTCAGCAAATAATTAGAACAAAGAACAATTGATAGTGACTAGGGGAGCGGGAAAAGGCTTTAGAAGAGATGACACATTGTTGAAGAAAAGAAAGGGCCTCTAAGAGCAAAGAGCTTTCTAGGAGCAGGGACTAGGAATTATAGTAAGCAGAAGAGGCAGGACTACCAAGCCTCCAAACCTCAATGCACCAACCCATTCTCCCACCCAGTTCTACAGCCTCCAACAGATACCTGTCTGTGTAGGTGGCCTAGGGCCCACATTTTGACCCCCATGGCTAGGCCTGAGCTCCTCCAAGGGGTTCCGGAGCTGAGGGCTCCCCACCAATTTCTCAGATTGCTCTGTCTGACATGTGACTTTCAGCCTGGGGCCTGCTGAGTCTGCGAGGGGGCGCTGAATACTGAGCTTCTGCCCCAATCTCTAGGGTAAGGGAGAAAAAAAGCTGAGCTCAGCGTTGGGGTGCATTGCTGCTTCCTTGCAGCTACTGTCTTCACTCCCCCAGGCTCCTCTTACCCTTGGATCTTGGTTCTCCTGGTCCACGGCGCTGGGTTTGACAGTGGGGAGAGGTGGGCGTCTCTGAGAGCGAACGGGAATCTTGCTAGGAGTGGGAGATACACCCCGGAGGAGAGGATCCTTCGTGGCTTGGAAGGTGGTCATGACGACTACAACGAAAAGGAGAAAAAAGCATCAGGAATCAAAGGTCAGCCAGTTCGAGGCTTCGGTCCTGACATTCCAGATACTCCTACCTCCGCCCAAATCCATGCGTCCAGAAGACCCGGCGCCTGCAAGGGCGCTTTTCGGTCATCTGACACTCTGAACCTTCTATTTCGTCCCAGGACCCCGAACTGCCTCTCTTCCCTACGAGCGCCGGCAGCCCTCATTCCCTCCAAGATCTCCGTGCCGCACCTCCCCCTGAACCCCTCAGGGTCTCCCCCACTTTCTTCGCTTTATCCCCCGACACTCTCGGCCTCTGCTCCAGGTACTTCCCCAGTTTGTAAAATACGCCAAGCTCCTGATTGGCTCGTCTGCGCTCCCGCGGAGGCGCGTGACGTAGGATTCAGCTATCCAATCTACAGGCTTCGGAGGCGGGGCCAAAAGAAAGACTAGTTGCCGAGCCGCTTTCTGGCCAGGAAAAAAAATGACCCGACTCAACCAGCCAATCCGAGAGCGGAGCGCGGAGTGGAAGAGGAAAGAGGAGACCGTTCTGAGGTCCAGGAAGGCATCGGCTCTGAGCCTGGGCAACAACGGGCGCTGGCGAACTCTCGCGAGGTCTCGGGACTGGTGCGGGAAGGTCCAGTCTCTCGGCATTGTGGGAAGGGCTTGTGTCCTGAGTGAGGCAGACTGACAGTGTTGGAGGCTGGCCCCAGCCCCTGACTCAGCTCTGATCAGAGTTAGGCCGTCAAGCTTTGGGGACGCCTGTCCAGACACTTTGTGGGAAAAGTCTGCCTGGGTCGAGGAACTGCCTCCAAACGGGCGGAGAGGTCTGGAGAAAATTGAACTAACAGTAACAAAAATGAAAGGTTACAGTGAAAAAAAGAAAAAAGTTTTCCTTTTTCTCTTGCTCTTTTCTGAGTTCTTTTTTTTTTAACTTTAACTTCCGGATCTGTAGTCGGTAATCAAGGCTAACTTGATATGTAAACTACATTCTATATGTATCTCCCTTAAACTCTGTGTGAGTTACATTGTGCTCCTGTAGCTCCTGTTCGTTACATTCTAACTCAGTGCTAATCCCATCCTGTGTTTGGTGCTCACCTTTACACCAGTCTTTGCAGAGTTCCCCTTGTAGTTCTCTCTTTTTTTTTTTTTCTTATACTACAGAAAGGAGGCCACTGTACAATTCATGAAAGACAGTGGACCCAACTGCTGGGCTACCTTACACCATGGAGAACGAAATGGCAACCCACTCCAATATTCCTGCCTGGATAATTCCATGGACAGAGGAGTCTGGTGGGTACAGGCCTTTGGGTCGCTAAGAGTCGCATAGGACTTAGTGACTAAACAACAACAGCCTGACTCTAGTCTGTTAGTGTTTTTGAAACAATGCAAGAGGGAAAAAAATACAAGATCCTTACACATTTGTTCCACATCACTGACCCCTGACTGTGAGCCCTCATCTATATGATTCCCCAGATTCTTCAGTGGGGGAAGGGGGCCACAGTTCTTGCGGCATGTTCTCCCCTCCAGGCTGGCTGAGGTTTAAAGCCACCTTTCTATTTCCTCCAAATTCTCTCCGTATTTTTTCTTTCCGGCTTCAGTGGACAGAGAAAGCCAAGGTTTTTGGCAACATCAGAAAATTCTTTTTTTCACTAAAGCTTTATGAATGGTGAGGTATGGTCTTCATTTCACAGATAAGAAAGAAGACTTAAATGAGGATCATTGGGGCAGTCCTGAGGAGGTGCGCAGCTCGGCCCTGGCAGCACAAGTACTGGATGCAAGCAGGTTAACAACCTCTGCCTGGGCTCTTCCACGATGTCAAAGGCAGAGGAGGTCAAGAAGCTAGCAGGCTGCACGGCAGTGGAGAAGGAGGTGAGGAATAACCACGTGTTGGGAACTGGTAGTGACTCTACAATTGTCCACACAGTGCAACAAATAGCTAAAAGAGTGAAATGAGGGGATCTGAACCAAGTTTGTTTTCCCACTTTCTTCCAGGCCCATAAGTTTATCCTGCAGTATGACTTATCTCTCAGTGAACCAGAGATCGGCCACGCCATTGATGGTGCTGATGAAGTAGATGCTGACCCCAACCTCACAAGGGCGGTGGAGGCCGCCTGACCCAGAAGATTGTGGCCGGCAAAGCCATCCATTTCATTGTGATCGCCGATTTCAGCAAAGATTCAAAGAACTTCGGGGATCAGTGGCACAAGGGGATTCCCCATCAAGGTCATCCAATGTCGCAGTGAGCTGAACCGGGACGCAGAAGTTTGGGGGCACGATTTAACTTCTGCTGGCTGTCAACAAGGCAGGTCCTGTGGTGAGGGATAGTGGGAACTTTATCCTGGACTGGAAGTTTGACTGGGTCCACAAATGGAGTAAAGTGAACACAGCTATCAAAATGATCCCAGGCATGCTGGACATGGGCCTGTTCATCAGCATAGTGGAGAGAGCCTACTTCGGGATGCAGAACAGCTTGGTGAACAGGAGGGAGAAGCCGTTCTGAACCGGCCTTGCAGGAGCCTAGTGTGTTCCTCTCATGTCCCCAACCCACCTCGGAGGCGGCCACGTCTCTCTGAACCTTTGCCTTAACGTGTCTGTGCCAGGTGGACAACTTGAGAGGGTGAGGGGAATGGGCCATGGTTTCAAATGTACAGGACACATAGATTCTCTCCCTGACTCCAGTGTTTCCTGTCGCACAACCCTCGGAGTTATTCTCGAATTCCTCTTTCCCTCCCCTTCCAATTTCCTCTTCACACCTTTTCATTATCTTTGGAATTCATTTTCTTGCTTCCTCCTCATTACCTTCAACCTAATCTCCCCTAGAGGATTGCAAAAGCCTCCCACCATCTGTTCTCTCTTGCTCTCCACAATAACCCATTCACCCTATAGCAGCTAGAATAATCTTTCCAAAATGCAAATCTGATTGTATTGCCGCTGTGCCTTGACTTCTCCCCACTCCAACTCCCCATCTTATATCACTTTCCCGTTCTCTGTTTTCCAACTCTATTGCCACTCCCAATCCTTGAAATTTGTCATGTTCCTTCTAGTCTCTCTGTCTGGAATACTTCCCAGCATGCCTATTCACACCTCCAAATTGATGTTCACTATTACTTTCTTATAGAGGCCTTCCCTGAACCCCTCTACTCACAACACTCCCTAATCTTTAAAAAAAAAAAGTTTCCTTAGTTGTGTGCACTCACAGAACTGTTTCTTCAGAGCTTGTATCTCAGTTGGTAATTGTATATTCACCAATGTGAACATAATATTTCATATTTATAAAACCTGAGCTCTCCTGCTAGACCTCCATGAAGGTGGCGACCTTTTTATTTTTGGCTTACATTATGTTTTCAGTGCCTTGCATTGTTCCTGGCAGTAGAGGTGTTCAATATTTGTTGAATGAGTCAAGAGATGAATGAATAATTGATCAAATGAATACATGGAGAGATAGCAAAGACCTCCGAGAACAAGCAATATTTGAGCTTCCTTTTTACAAGAGGGAAGGCTCTTCTAGTCACTCAGAACAGTACTTGCAAAGGCTAGGAACACTTCTCTGGAGTGTTCAGAGAAGACTAAGTCCTCAGGGGTGGATGGAACATAGGATATTAGGTAATAAAACTAGAAAGTTGGTCTGACTGGAGGGAAGGTGGGTGTCACCTCATTCCACTAACAGGTACAGTGAATGTACCAGATCCCAACTACTAGATCAGCAGGGATGGCTGTTGAAAAATACTGTGCACTTACTGTGTGTAAGGCGCTTTGTCAGACATTTGGTACACATAGAGGAGTAAGGCTGAAGTCCGAAGGATGGAGAAACACCAAGGATGGAGAAACACCACCGGAGGCTGGCTGCACAGTGCCTTTATATGATTTTTTATACATATTTATACAATTTTATACCAACACAGTCCAGGTCCAAGTTCACACACCTGGAAACTTGAGTTTGTCAGGCTACCCAGAGGTGGTCTTGGGATCACACTAATCAAATTAGTAAGAGAAATTCAGTGATTCACCATGAGCAACATACCTTCTGGTACCAAAATATTTATGTTTGCTCCTCAGGGCACTGCCTTCACAGCATCAACATACAGGGAGACTGACTTTATACCATAAAAGCCTTTAAAAGGGCTGATAATCAGAGTATCTGCCACACTTATAATAGCGTTTAACCTATTTTCTATAGAGCAGTCTGTGACCTGCTTCTGTTTGTCTTTGCTGGACCTTGAATATGGGGAGTTGCAAGCCACTTCTCTTGTTTTATTCTATCACCTCCCCCTTTACTCCCTGTTTTCCCCTATAGACACCACTGTAATGTGACTGATATGTTTTTAATTATGCATGTGTATAAAATGAGGCTTCCCAGGAGGCACTAGTGGTAAAGAACCCTCCTGCCAGTGCAGGAGACATAAGAGATGCAGTCGATCTCTGGATTGGGAAGATCTCCTGGAGGAGGGCATGGCAAGCCACTCCAGTACACTTGTCTAGAGAATCCCCATGGACAGATGAGCCTGGCGGGCTACAGTCCATAGGGTCGCAAAGAGTTGGACAGGACTGAAGCGACTTAACACATGCATTTATAAAATATGTAAGGTTGTATGTTTGTTTCCTATTGCTACTGTAACAAATGCCACAAATTTGGTGACTTAAAATAATGCAAATTTATTCCCTGGGGGTCAGAAGTCTAATATCAAGGTTTGGCCTGGATTCATTCCTTCTGGGGGCTTCAGAGGAGAATCTGTTTGCTTGCCCTTTTCAGGTACTAGAGGTTGCCAGCATTCCTTAGCTTGTTGCCCCTTCTTCCATCATTCTAACTTCTTGCTTCTGTTGTCACATCTACTTCACACTGTGATCTCCTGCCTCCCTCTTATGAAGACTTTGTGATTATATTGGTCTGATCCATGTAATCTAAGATTATCTCCCCATATTAAGATCCTTAACTACATCTGTAAAGTCCGTTTTGCCACATAAGATGTTAATAACTTAGAGATTCAGAGGATTAAGATGTGGACATCTTTGGGAATTCTTTTACTCAATGTACTACAGGTTATTTCGTGTATGTGTTTTTAATTTGCACAAACATTGCCGTGTGTGTGTGTGTGTGTGTGTGTGTGTGTATTTGGAAAAGGAAATGGCAACCCACTTCAATACTTCTTGCCTGGAAAACCCCACGGACAGAGGAGCCGGGCATGCTACAGTCCATGGAGTTGAAAAGAGTGGAACATGACTCAGCATGCACAAACTATGTTTTGTTTTGTTCTGTTTTCCGTGCCATGCTGTGCAGCGTGCAGAACTTCCCCTAACTGGGGATCAAACCTGAGCCCCTTGCCGTGAAAGCACAGTCCTTTTTTTAAAAAAAATTATTTATGTATTTATGGCTACACTGGGTCTTCGTTGCTGTGTGGGCTTTTCTCTAGTTGTGGTGTGCAGGCTTGTCCTTGCGATGGCTTCTCCTGTTGCAGAGCATGGACTCTAGGGTGAGTGGGCTTCAGTAGCTGTGGCACGAGGGCTCCGTAGTCGTGGTTCTGAGCTCCAGAGCAGTCGCTCAATAGTTGTAGTGCAGGAACTTAGTTACTCTGTGGCACATGGGATCTTTCTGGATCAGGGATTGAACCCATGCCTCCTGAATTGGCAGCTGGATTTTTTTTTCCCACTGAGCTACCGGGGAAGCCTGAGAGCATAGTCTTAACCACTAGACCACCAGGGAAGTCCTATATGATTTGATTTTTACTTTTTTTTGTTGTTTGTCAACCCTGTTTCTAGGATCAATCCTTAGTGCTGTATAAAATCTAATTCATTGCTTTTGACAACT